TCCCCGGTCCGGTACCCAAAAAAATAAACAACTTGCTGATAAATAAGTGCTATCTTGATATCTGCATATGTCCCATCATAATTACAGATTAGATCAAGTTTATAAGCTTCCATGTTCTTCCTTTGCTATTATTTTAATAATGTTCATAGAACTTTAGGTATTTTCTGCCATATAAAATTTGCTTGTTATGCTCATGTTGCCATGACTTATTTTGATGGTAATTTTTTCATCATTCATTTATCATACCAAAAAATAAAACATGCTGGTGTGCATGTCCCATTGCCAGAGACCAACAGGACCGTGACTTTTGGCAAATAGGATATAATTAATCATAGTAAATCCATAAAGCAGAGGGACAGAATAGTGTTGGCAGAGGGATGGACATGAGAAATAGAATATGACGCAGTGCTTAGAAATAGATCCATATTTGTAATATAGAGAAATCTGATATACTGTAGAGGTGGCATTAAGATCACTAGAAAGAAAAACTGATCAGTAAATGCCATTTTGTTCATTCAGTGTCAAAAAGCAAAATTTGATTCCTGCTTCACAGCTTATACAAAATTATTCTCAAGTGAATAAAGATGTACATGAAAAAGACAAAAGCTTAAAACTCAAAAGAGAATATGACCTTAGGTTGGGGAAAATCAACTCAAAGAAGACCCAAAACATTTTAAGCATAAAAAATATTATAAAACAGGAATTTGTATTCTTCAAAAGAAAACATAATTAAAAAGACAAGAAAAGTAATTTACAGTCTGTACAGTGAATACAAGATTAATATCTAGACTAAGAAATTCCTGCTTATCAATAGAGGAGACAAGTTACAAAATGAGCAAGTGTGCATGCATAATCATAGGATCACAAATGGTGAGTTATCATGAAAATGATAACCTCAGTAACCCATGAAAAGTGAAATCATAATGAGACATGTTGGATTAGCAACATTAAGAAGTCCGGCTCGGTTTGGTGGCACATGCCTGTACGTAATCTCAGCACTCTAGAGATTTTAAGTTCAAGCCCAGCCTAGACAACTTGGCAAAAACCTATCTAAAAATAAAATTAGAAAATTGGGCCAGGGATTTAGCTCAGTGGTGCCACCTCCTGCCTTGTAAGTGCAGGTCCTAAGTTGGATCCCAGTACCAAAAAAGAAAGGGTGGGGGTGGATTATTCAGATGATTAACTGTCTAGAATAAATAGATTGTAAAGGAAAACCATATTTAAATGTATTTATTCATATTTGTTATAAAATGAGATTTTTAATATGATAAATGTTTTTATTAACACATTAGCAAGATCTCTAGTGGTAGATTGGAGTACCATAATTTTGAAATAGTTGTGAATGAGATTAATGTATGTGTAAGAACTGTACAATGATATGAGAATATCTGATTTTCTTTAGTGTAAAAATTGTAGTTGCCTGTATTCATAATTATAGAATGTTGTTTCCACTAGAAACAGTGAAAATAAAGGCATAATTTTTCTAATTAAATTGTTAGCCCCCATGAGCTTTATCTTAGATCTTTTAGGTCTTATACTCTAGATTAGGAATTTCTGTTGTAGGGCAGGGCAAGGGAGAAGCATATAGATAGATGCAGCACTGTGATTCTATTTCTGAAAGTGGGCAGGCAGCAAATTCAATGTATAATTCACAGTTCATGTGAATTAGTACCTAAGTTTTTGTGGAGTTTTTTGAGGTTTAACATTATGTGATAAGTACCGCAATTCTAAGTATACTACTACCTCAATTTATGAACTTAATTCTTTATGCAGCTCTGATTGAAAACTGAATTGAATGAGAACCAAGTCAAATTCAATGGTTAGGGTCAGTGTTGACCTTATGTGGAAGTTTGATTTGGTTCTCATCCAATTGGATTTACAACCAGATTTATGGAAAGAATTAAGTTCGTGAACAAGGTACCACTATATTCAATTAGAGGGTTTTTTAGATGCGTGTACACATGTGTAAACACCAGCCAAATCAGTGATGATGAACCTTTTTAGAGACCAAGTGCCCAAACTGCAACTCAAAACCCATTTATTTGTTACAAAATGCTAACACTGCAATTAATCTTGAATGCTGAGGTTTTAGTTTAGAAAAAACAACTCACACAACTGGTGACATCACAGAGAAGGATATGCATGCTTGCTGCAGCATGCACAGACAGACCTAGATACAGAATGCTGCTAGAATCTCTGTAGGCTTCCCAGAGCTTCCTTTCTTCCAACCCAGACATCTCATGTAATCGCTGTTTAATAGACTTGTTCTCATAGATCATTTTCACCTGTTCCTGAACCTCATGTTGTAGAAACATGCAATATGGTATATACATTTTAGTAGGTAGGAAACCTTATATTAAGAAAAAAAAAATTGACGTGAGCTATCCCAAGCCACACTTCTTTAGTAACATAAGCATTTTAGTATCCTTACTATTTTTACTCTCTGGTAGAAATTTTTTTAGCTGACCTGGACTGAGTTTTCAGCAGCAGTCTGCTTTACCTTCTATGTTATCACAGTGGCTGGTTCATTCATTTGAAATCGTGTGCTTAATCAAGAAATTACTAGAGGGAAAAGCAGTTCTCAGCTTCTGGTGATAAGACAAACACCCTGTGGACAGCTCTGAAGCCTGAATAGTCAAAGTAATAAGCTGCCATTATATACATCTTATTACTCCCAAGTTATTAAACCTTAAAATTCAATGTCTAGGCCAGACACGGTATCACGTCTTTGGTAATCTAAGCAGCTGAGACAGGAAAACTGATGCAAGTTTAAGGTCAGCCTGAGCTACATAGTTCAAGGCTAGCCTGAGCTACAAAGCAAGGCCCTGTCTCAAAAAACCAGAAAGGCCCCCCTTCTTTTTTTTTGTAGTACCGAGGATGACCATCAGGGACACTTTGCCACTGAACTACATCCTCAGCCCTTTTTAAATTTTGCTAAGTAGCCCATACTGGCCTAGAACTTGTGATCCTCCTGTCTTAGCCTCCCAGGTAGCTTGGATTAACAGGCATATGCTACCATGCTTGGCTTCCCTCTTTTTTTTTAATAGAATAGAAAAACACCAAATTTGTCATCAGAATACCTGAATTTTGTTCTTTTTTTTTTTTTTTTTTTTTTTTTTTTTTTTTTTTTTTTT